AATGCTGATTGGCCTGGGAAGTCGGCTTCCCACCCAATCAGCATGGAGTCGACTTCCCAGCCAATCAGGAAGCCGGGAGGCGGGCCATTACCCGCTGCCCGGCTTCCTGATTTGGCTGGGAAGCCAGCTCCATGCTGTTTGGCCGGGAACCTGGCTTCCCAGCCAATAAGCATGGAGCCAGCTTCCCGGCCAATCAGGAAGGCGGGAGGCGGGCCTTTACCTGCTGCCCGGCTTCCTGATTGGTTGGGAAACTGGCTCCATGCTGTTCGGCTGACTCAATGCTGATTGGCTGGGAAGCCGCAAGTCATTCCCGGTGGCACGGCATCTTGATTGGCCGGGAAGCTGGCTCCATGTTCCCTCGCGGCTGTGCACTGAAGTTCCGGTATCGGGGGGTAAGTAACGTAGCATTTGGGCAAGTACTCGCCCAAATACTCGGTTTTGGCACTGATAACTATACTAATATCGGTATCAGTGCATCCCTAAAGGTCATGTGTCCTGACGTGGCTCTAGTTTGGAACTGTTTATCCCAGTCATAAGGTCATCTATCTGTGGAGATCAAATATGTGAATGTAGAATGGCCTGAAGCATTGTTATTGGCTTACTTAAAGAAAGATCTCAGGCTGCATATACAGGTGAAACTCGAATAATTAGAATATCGTGCAAAGCTCATTTATTTCACTAATGCAACTTAAAAGGTGAAACTAATATATGAGATAGACTCATTACATGCAAAGCAAGATAGTTCAAGCCGTGATTTGTCATAATTGTGATGATTATGGCTTACAGCTCATGAAAACCCCAAGAACCCCAAATCCACAACCTCAAAAAAGTAGATTATTACATGCAATCAATAAAACAAGGATTGTACATAGAACAATCTCGGATCTCTGAAAAGTACAAGCATGCATATGTACTCAGTACTTGGTTTGGGCCCCTTTTGCAACACTTACTGAAATTACTTTTGCACGATATTCTAATTATTCGAGTTTCACCTGTAGACCCCTGTTTCAACTTTAGATGACTTAATTACTTAAATATCTATATTTGAATATAATGGATACAAAATCTAATTTATTACATTACGGGGAAAAGATCTAATTACAGTCTTCACATTTCTGTTGGCTCAAAAATATTTAACTTTAAAGGATTGCTTAAGGAATGTATCTGACTTGTCACTGTTTCTCGGGGCCGCTGTGCTGTACCCAAAAGTCTATGGGCACTCCAAGAATTAGTGCTACAACAGGAGCAAGATTGTGCTTTATTTTCAAAAATTGCCCCAGGCAATCTGTTTCCTATTTACTCTGGGCCATCTTTTTCACCTGTCAGTTCATTTTGTCATTGGTATTGACTCTTTATTAGCGCAATAGCTTTCTCTCAGCAGGTATCTTGGTTGCACATGCCTTTAAAAACCTCCTTTTGGGAATGTCCTAGAATGTGACCTGGACTATAATTCTTTGCAATCCCAATTCTTCTAAAATAATATATTGATAAGTTAAATGTTTTGTATTGGGTCATAAAACAAAAATATAGCTGTGGTACACAATTATATAGACTAGGCCTGTATAAACATTATACTTTTGCATTTCCATTACCTTTTTGTGTAGAACAGTGAAGGTCGACTTGTATGTCTCTTACTTCTGGCTCACGTGTGTCTGTTAAAAAAGTGCTATTCATCCCCTAACCTTCATTTGCAATGGCGCAGTTTTAATTTTTACTTGTTCATATTCTTCTTGATGGCTGCCTGTGTGCTGGGTGTCTCAGCTGTAGATCAGCTGAAATAAGTTATAAGCTGCAGAAAAAGGGAGGACCCCCCTCTCCATTGCACCATAGTGACATTTGCAAATTAAATTATTTTATAAGCCAAGTTCGTTATTTTTTAGTTATTGAGTATTTCAATTATTTCTGCACTATCCAAACTTTTATCAAATGCAGAGAATAATAGAACTGAACAAATGTTACAAATGGTGTTGTTTAAGACTAAAGGTGGCCATGCATTGTACGATTTTTGTTCGAAAATCGGGCACATACGGTCTTTTGAACGAAAATCAAACAGTTGATGGTACACCGACTTCACGTTTTCTCTGGCCGAACAAAAATCTATGAATCAGTGGGGTTTTCGTTTCGTCCAAAACCTTAGGAAGAACACAGCACATGCACTTCATGAAAAATTGGTTGGTTAGTATGGCTAGCAAACTATTTCCGAAATCGACATTTGACTATGCTTGATGGGGTATTTGAGCTATAATCGAATGAGGGTTGGCGGTAGAAATTAAATTCGACTGAAAATCTGATATTGTATGGTCACCTTAAGTCAGGTAATGAGACTCATTCTTACCATGTATTGTATCTGAGGCCATAAAGTATGCAAGTACATTGTCCAAGCCAGAAATGTAAGTCATGTTTCTAGTCTAATGGTGTATATACATATTAGCAGTAAGGGACATAGTTCATTGTTCTGTGTACTTATATAGAGGGCCCAACAGCTCTTGTCAGTTAATCTCCGTAAGGGTCTATTTTCCCAAAAACAAAATTCAGATTTTTGAGATATGCTTATTTGTTGAATCATCCACCAGGATATTTTATATTTTATCTCTCAGACAGGCAAGTATAATTCACTTCCTACAGTTTCTGTAATTTAAAGAAAATCCAAGGCAGACCTGGGAACCCCAGAAATGTCACCACTGACAAGAGTAGCTAAAGGGTTATTTAACTTTGCCAGATTTGTTTAAAATTGGAAATATTATCTGATGGGCTGACCATTTAAATGTGTCAGACCTAAACAAAAAGTTACTTTGTTACAGATCAACAAAGAACAGTCAATACCTCACCAGCACATATACTAAGATATCTGATATTTATGTGACATTGGTGGGCACTCTGTAGTTATATTTTAGCAGCTAAAGGGAAATGTTACTGTCACCACTTTGAACTATGGGATAACAGGAATTCAGTTGTGAGTTACACAATATCACTTCCCACTATGACACCTTTATTTTAAAGGTGATCCCCTGTAAAATGAAAGCTTTGTTTGAGTTTTCTGTTTGAAAGCAACCATAATGTTCCATAACAGTAAGAGCTGGTTGTAGGGAACAAAGTGTTTTTCAGACAATGTCTGGCTTCTGTGGTGTCCAAGCAGTAAAGAGAAAATATGAAAGCTGCCATTGTTGACCTTCCTTTCTGAAAATACCAGATTACTTGCTGTCATGCAGTTCCAGTAGCTTCAGTTCTTTTGCATCACTGACCCAGAAGTATGAAGATTGAGAGAATTTTTATGATGTAGTTAGTGTCTCAGAAGACCAGAGACATCCAGGCAATTGGTATTTTCCAGGAGATCAGCAATGGGAGCCTAGATATCCATCTGAGTACAGGCTTCCTTTAACTACACAAGTAACTCATCCATTTTCTTAGATTATAGAAAGTTGCTTTCAACTGTTACATACTTTGCAAATACTGCTACAAATGACAATCAGAAAATGGAAAACCAAGGGCATAGAGCCAGGTATTTCGCATGATTCACTACGGCTGGATTCCCACTTCTCTGTTCTACTGTGCTGTGATATTGCATGTGCACTAACGTGCACTGCATTTAGGCAACCTATTATTTTTTAATGGGCTGCCAATGTACAGGAATGGACCAAAAAATGGACAAGAAGCATTTTTTTTATGCAGAGCACGGTAATGCATTACCGCACCTTGTAGTTCACTGCAACGCATGTGCAATGGGTTACCATTCAGAATAATTGCCACTAAAACGTGCTAATGCACATAACATCCACTAAAATGCATTGCAGTAATGTGCACGTTAACCTGAGTGTTACTGCAACACACCCTATTGCAAAGGTGTTCTTCAGCCCTCAAGAATTGCAATTCAGATTTTTTAAAATATCTATACATTAATTTTTTTTGTTCAGCTTGATTCACTCAAATGTTCTTGCATGTTAATGTGCATGGACATGCAAAAGGTCAATTTTGCATGCACTAGGTGAACATGCACCGTGTGCACATTGTGCCTGATGCATAAATGAGTTTAGATGTTAAAGTGGGTTATATTCAGTTGCCGGAAAGCAAGACTGAGCCTTTATAGAACTTAGAAAGAGTTTCAATGGCCACAAAGCTGGATTGTTTCCCCACATAAGTTTTATATTATATCAATGTGCCATTCAAAACATGTCTGTCTTCCCCTACGTGTAACTTACATTTTATTTTGCGGAGGGAGTTATATTTGATAGTAATCAACGCTGAGACAATGTGGGCTATGCAGCATAGGCACATATAATGAATTTATTGTAAGCAAATATTTTTATAAAATGTTTTACTCTTTTTTGAAAAAAATTCCCTCATCATCAGTATTCCAAATAGTATTTTATTGTTGTGCCTAATTTAGTATTTCAGCACGCCCCTGAGTGCACCAATGAAAGGCCAGTAATCACCTTCCAGCAACATCTGTAAAAAAAAAAAAAATCAGGGCAACTGGACTTTTTACAGATATACCATGACCTGGATGAATGAGAATCTTCACACAATTTTAGGAACCGTCTCCTTCCTTTTATTGCTTTACTGATTGTGCTTTCTAGTATTTGGGTACATGATAAAGGCCAGTTCGCATTGGAAAATGTTCACCAGAGAGCTATACCAGCAGAGGAACTCACGTGACTTCACCACTTATTATCATGCATGAAAAGTTCAGCCCAATTATGTTAGTTTATTTTATTTTATTTTTTACATGACTGGAGTTCTACCGTAAATATATTAACTTCTGATATACCTTCTACATAGTTACCTATAAAGTTTTTTAAAACAAAAACATTTTTAAATAAACCAACATGTACATATGTTTAGTGGTCATTTATAAGCAGTTGCAAATGTTACTTTGGAGAAGCCCAATGTAGGTGTGCACCACTGGGGACCATAATACTCTTGATTGGTTCATCATATGAGACCACATACTGAAAGTAAATCATTTTTAGAATAAATATTTCTCTTAAGAAAACTGAACTTACCTCCTTGCTCATCCAACATAACCAAAGTCCTGATTCCAGCATCTTTACTCTATATCCCAGAGACAAGAAGCATAGCAGAAAGAAGACAGAGAAAAAAAGTCAGAAAGTGTAACCAAAATTTAGGACTAAGCAAATATTCCCATAAGACAGTTAAATAAGATGGAGAACAAGTTAGAAATTCAATGCAAGGGACGTCAGTTTCAGTGTTTAGCTTTTATTAATACTGTCACCTTCTGCAAGCAGTGTCTGTATAAATCAAATACAGTTATGTAAGAATTTAGAAAAACATCCTTTGCTTGAAATGCATTGGGCTCTTAAGTTCTCTTATGATCTGATATTTAAGAAGAATGTATAGTGATTTGAAAATTATTTATTATAGTCAGGAGTAAAAAAAATAAAAATGTTTAAAATGATTTGTATTTTTTTCTTAGAAAAGTAAATATGAAATATTGCATATATTTTACATTTTCCAGTTGAACCAGCAGGTGGAGCGGTAGGCTCCTCTTCACGTTTTCCAGGCTATCCATTTACTTAATTGATGTAAAGAGTTTACAGAACACAGTAGTGCAAGCTGAAATTTACAAGTAGATGACCCGTTGCAGTAATGAATCACTCATCAGTGTAAAGTTTCAGTGAGAAGAATAGCAGAATATGTGTGCTGTTCTTTCTCTTTATAGAACCCATAGTGCTCTGGGAACCATTTGTAATGTATTATATGTTTATATGAAAACAAAGATTGTATACAGATAGTAAAAACAATATAAAACATCTATAAATTAAACAAATATAAAACCCTAGGCTTACGGTTTGGGAAAATTGATAGATTATGCTGATGGATGAACTCACCCTGCTCCTACACAATCAACAAATTCCACCATACCTGATACTGCTGGTAAGACTTAAAAAATGGACGGTAATATCAGTCTCTTTGAGCCAATCAATGTGAGTCTCTTAAAGGCAACCTTAGGACCCTCCCCCACTTCACTTCTTACTCTAGTATTCATTCTATTCACTGTTATGCTTTTTTCATCGCTCTTCCTCCACTCCCCCCTAAACCCATTAAGGCCCCCAAGCCTAATTTAACAAATCCCCACAAGAGCTGCATAAGGAAAACGTATTCTTCAAACAATTAATCAAATGATTTGTATTTCTGTCCATCCAATTGAGAGAAACCCTGTTTGGCAGGGCAGGAGACCTGATTTTTCTCTGCTGCAGTTAAGCAACACCTACAGGTATAGTCCATCCCCCAGTAAAGGGAGAAGCTGTGGGCTGTAAAGCTTATCTCCCTGTCACTCTGCTATCTTATATAAGCATGCTTCTTGTGTATTCACCGGTGTAATTCAGTACAACTGACTGGCTCATTTAGCTGCTCCTCCCTCTCCCAGTCTAAGCTCTGCTGCATGAGGACTGTAAGAGACTGGTACTTACACTGTATTACACTGTATTGCATTAAAAAAAGTTTAATGCTATTAGAGCTGCAGCTAACGATTATTTTCAAAATCGATTAGTTTGTTAATGAATACACAGCTGCACTCACATGCTATCTCCTCCTATCAGCATACTCCTTGTTAATGCAGGTGTACTGCAGCACAGCACAACTGACTGGCTCTTTGTGCTGCTCCTCCCTCTCCCAGTTTTAGCTCTGTTGTACAGGGACTGTACAAGACTGGTACTTACACTGAGTGTATTAAAAAAAATGTGTTAATGAATACAGAGCTGCATTAATTAGTGTCCTTTATGTCAGCCTTGAGCTTTAAATAAATAATATATATCTAAAAACTGAAATAAAATTGACCCATAACCATTGCAGTTTCATTTTAACGTGTTTGAAAATGCATGCATAAGATGAAATCTAATATATTAGATGCAAGCCTTTAGAAAACCTCAGGCACTCAAAGCAGAGAAGATCCGGCCGCACACTGTATGACGCTAAAACAGTTTTCAGCATTATACGCGTTTCACCCAATCACAGGCTTAATCGCGATTAATTTAGTACGATTAAACCCGTGATTGGGTGCAACACGTCAGAGAGGGGTGGACCATCGTCAATAAACTGTTTCAGTGTCATATGGTGTGCAGCTGGATCTTCTTTACTTTGAGTGCCTGTGAGTTTGGAGTGAGGACGCTCCTACCGGTGAGCACCTGGTCTTTATTCCCCTGCCAAGCCATGGGGGAGTGCGGTGTCTACTTTGTTCTCCGCCTTTTTTGAAAAGGAAGTATATTTCAGATGAACAAAAGTACGGCTACAAATTGGTAGTAAAGTGCGCAGACTGATCTGAGGATTACATTCATGCAGCAATAATGCATTTATTCAGTTGTGTAATACATGCTAAAGTCTTGTTCTATCCACAAACAAATGGGAACTGTTTAACAAAATGACAAAACCTGATTTCTTTACTCAGTGACTTTTTGTACCAATTTTTGTAAATGGACAGTTGTCTTGCCAACACATCACTCATGCCCCTGCACTTGTCAGCCTGATGCAGCCTAATGTAACAATGTCACATTGAGCAATAGCCTTTCTGATCAAGCTTGAAGCTACAAAGACCCATACATATACAGTATATGTTGCACCTCGAAGATAAAAGGAGACAAGATAACAGAAACGTCCACGTTCACTAACATGGCATACAAAGAGAGAGCACAATGGATCATAAGTGTAAAATCAAACGCATTACTCATGGTAAAACATAAGCAGCCGGCTGTATGTCATGTCTACAGCCCATGCTGGCAACTTTAAAGGAAACGTGTCGTCAGAGAAATACACAAGCCACCATTGCTGACCCCCTTCTGAAATTGCTTGATGCCTAGATGCCATGCTAAGCCTCTGGCTTTACATCTTTCTAAGGGTATGCAGACATGTTTTGTGTTATACCAAATATTTTTAGACTGCATCAAGTTTGAGAATATTTTCTTTGATCTTTGATGGTGCCATGTACTGTATATGGTTTCTGTTTTGTTATGTTCAATCTGAATTACAGTTATAGCTGAAATCCAGCGCTCTCCTCTTCTCCCTGAGGTGCCGGGCAGTCTCTTGGCGTCATCACATATAATGCAGGACTCTAGCCTATGTGGAGGAGGCAAGCATATGACTGTGGCTGGGAGCACCTAAGGCCCCATTCACACTAAGCGACATACCTTTTGGAGCGGATCCGTGCGGCCGGGATAGCGCGACTTTCGGGGTGACGTTCCAGTGACGATCCAGCGACGGTAGCGCGACCTTCACCGTCGGGCTGCATTAAAAAATTGTGCACAATCCGCCGAAAAAAGGGTCCTGTAGAAGCGACTTGCGACTGCGACAGGCGACACGGAGCTGTACATGAAGACAGCTCCATTGAAAATCATTGGCCGGCGACTTCTCGCGATATCGCACTGCAAAGACGCGCGATATCGAGGCGGAAATCCGCTCAGTGTGAATGGGGCCTTAGAGAGGAGGCCTTGAGGGACCGGTTGCAAAGACGAAGAGAGCAAAACAAGTGAAAAAAATTCCTATCTGTCTGTTTATTTGATTTAACTTACACAAAAATAATTGTGGAAATTGACCCGCGCAGCCTAATTTTTTGTAAATACTGTTGTGCTGTCTACCAGCTGGGGTAAAACATATGTGGGCACCCCAGCTATTGACCTGGAACATGTATGCAAAATAAAAGTTTTGTCTCCACTTGGTTACTGTGAGTGTTAGGGTGACAGGAAGGGTGAGTGATCGCAAACAGGGTTAGTATACCTTTAGATGTTACGTTTGTTGATGTGTCTTGGGTTTTTTGTATTGTTTTTTTTTGGTATTCATCAAAAAGAATAAAGGGAAAAAAAAACTCACAGTAAAATGATCAACGACTTGCTGGGAGTCTCAAAGAAATTCAGAAGATGTCTTCTAGCTCCTATCCCATATATAGTTTTTATTTCCTCTTTCCTGTATGCTATTAGTAGTCTCTGTATCTCAAAGGTGACTCAATATCAGACACATAGCACGCTATAATAGTGCTTTCTGTTTCTGATAATGATCCAGTAACACAGTTGGTTACCGTAGCAAAGGTGTCAACATTCACATGGTCCTATGGTAGCATGGTTGTCAAACAGAGGCTTTATAACGCAATGTTTAGACCAATGAATGCAAAATTGCACAAATCCTTCGCTGACCTGTTGACTGCTAAGGAGAGATATCATAAGCTGCTTATTCCCACAGCTGTAAAAGTCTTTAAATCAGAAATATCTACTTTTAAAGAGCTTATTTTAGGTAAGACTGATTGCTTGACAGCACAAAATATTTTTTTTTTTTTTAGCACAAAATATAAGTGATGACATCATCAGCCAGATAATATATAAATATGTTAAAGAGCAGCAGCATGGACATGAGGAATGAGGTACTCTGCTTACAATGTTTTAGGTCTAGCTTTCATTTTAATTTTTCATCTTTTTCATTTTGCAACCATCAGGATTAGTATTGTATTTTATTATGATGAATATTATGATATTATATTTAAATCAGACGTTTACCCCCTTTCACGAAAAATCTCATCAGCATGCAGTGTTGCATGCTGATATGAAATCATCTTACATGCAAACAAATATATTTTTATTTTACGTACACATTTCTTTTTTTCTTCTTCTGGATCCACTCTGGCACAAATTATGTAATCGTGCCCAAGCATTGCATCCTGGGAAGGTTTTATCAGCAGTTTATTGCTGGGAATCTGTAATCTCAGGGAAAGGCATTTTCCTCTCCTGAGATGATGTGGATGGTCACATGTCCTAGTCACATGTCTTCCCTTTTCAAGGAAGTAAAGGGAGATATAATAATCTGCCCTTAGTAAAAATGGTTGCAGTGAGAAGAATGGGGAGGAAAAGAAAAATAAGGTATGCAAAGAATAAAAAGCCGGATCTTCACAAAAAAGATAAATATATGAATGGCTATTTCTTGCAAGATTTAGGCTTCTGGGATTTTTTTCTGCCTACTAGAGGGTGAGTAACCTCAGTAACATTTAACATGACACCAGTCTTCACTGCAGTCAAGATTTAACAAGATCTGCATCTGACTTTTTTCTGAAATTAGCCCACTGCCTCTCTCAGCTATCTGCATAAAGCCTAAAGCTGAACTCCAGACAGATATAAAAGACAAAGAATTAATGCATGTCTACATTCATTAATACATCATTAAATGTATTTCTCCTAATGTAAACAGAGTTAGTACTTGGATTTGAACTGGAATGAGCCTCTTGCAATCCACTGTAGAACAGAGCTCATACTGGGAGAGGAAGAAGCAAAGGAGGAGCTATTCAGGTGTGCTGATGAATGTATTTCCCCTGGGTGTTTAGCTGTTTGCCTAGAGTTTAGCTTTAATGTGGAACTAACCCTAACTGGACAATATTTAAGCCGGGTATACATGGGTTGAACGAAAATAATAAATAGAACACATTCCTCCATCAAATCTTATCAGCATAGATGGATGAATCCCCTGCTGTTTCCCCAGCTGCTGTCAGAATACCCATACAGAGCTAGCAGCTGATTGGTTGCAAGCTCCGTTTGGCCAAGAATTTTCCAATCAGCTCCTTCGATCAGCTGATTGAGGGATGCCGGGTGGAAGGGTGCCGACAGCAGCACCCACGCAGCACATTTCAGATGGTTTACCAAGAACTGGACGAAATTTGAAGCATGGCTTTAGTTTGCTATAGCAGTATCATAAACATGCAGGATTGTACTTTGAGTCCAGAGCAACATGGTAATGCTCCCCCCAGTGGGTGTGTTCCTGATGATCTTGGCTCACAGGAAGTGGGTTGAATAATGCTAAACATCATTTAATTGGAAAGAGAACTGGTACTGGACCACTGAGAGGTGAATTGTGCAGTAAAAGCTGATTTTGTTTTTATTTGCTAGGCTACTTATTTCTCTTTCAATTTAGACTGTAATTGCACTTTAGGTTATCAGTATAAATACAAAAAAAAGTGTGATGGTTCTGGTTTCTAAGTAAAAATAAAAGCTCTAGAAGATGTTGAAATAAACGACCTAGATAAAGATGTACAGTGACACAATGACATGTCCTACGGTAATACAAGACGCTAAGATGAAGTGTCGACAGCCCAGAGACTCATGGACATTATGCAGACAAGACAGGCTTATCATAGTTTAAAAGTCACTAATTAAAAGAGAAAATTCCCAATGAACCAACTGTGTCACTGAATGTTGTGACACAAAAACATCTATTTATAATACTAACCAAATATCACCGGATGGCAGTAGTGATATATAGTTCATTTTACAGAAGGCAGGTGCCCAAACACAGGGTGAGCATCACCGTAAATTATATCTAAGAGGTCGAATGCGCCAACCAAAGATGCCAGTGCATGGGAAAATCACACCCCTGATATTTATTTTTCTTGGCTCCAATTACCAAATCTGCAACAGATTTTTATTAGCATGGTCATGTCTGAATTAGAAAAATGAGAGGACATCTGGCATCTGTTCTAAATGGGCATATAGGGCAAAAACAACAGAAGAGCAGGAGAGAATAGGATGCATTTTGTTTGTGTAAATTTTAGCTTGAGCTTTTAAACTCTCTACGTAACAGCCAATTTACAACAAACGGTAATGAGACACTGAAAAGCATGTAAAAAGAAGCCTAAAGCACTACTTACTGGACAGATATAAGAAAACAGAATAGTTATATGCAATATTTCATGTTTACCCGACTAGAAAGAAAAACTATTAGAAAAAAAAGAAAATATAGGAAAGAGCACTAAACATTCTTTCTAGGGCATAAACTACTAATGAATGGGAAAATGGTTTTCTTACATTTGGAGCCCACATAACTTTAATGAATATTCTCGCAGCCTTAGGGGAATGACACAGTGACCTGATCTGCCTCAATATGTCTTAAAGGAGAACTATGAGGTGAGTGATTTTCACTCATCCTCATAGTTCTAGCCGACATGTGGCAATGAAACTGTCACAGGTCGGCTCACTGGATCAGGAAGTGAGCGAACACATAGTGGCATTCGCTCACTTCTCGATCCTGTCACGGCTCTCTGCCGTGACAGGGGAGGGACTGGATTCTCCCCGCTCCGATCCTCCAGCGCTGACTGGCGGAACAGACAGGGGAGGGGGCGGGTACTGCTGGCTCTGCCTCTACATAGGCAGAGCCAGCTGTCACTCACGCAGCTGGGCGGATCCAGACATAATTGTCGGGATCCGTTTCAGCTGCGGCGTCTAAGTATATACTGAGCTTAGGGTGACGGGAGGACGCTAATTTGTGTCCCTTAGGAGAACTATGGGGGAAAGTAGTTCTCCTTTAAAGACATTCAGGTTTAGGATTTTATGGCTGTATACTGTACAACAGTTGATATGAGCAACAACTACAGTAATGAGTGCAAACAAAAAAAGTGATGAAGACTTCTTGCACTAGAAACCTCTAGTCCCCTCTTCATCTGGCAATGAGTCTGAACTCTGCTGTCTTCAAGTGCTACAGCCCCCAGCAGCATCTTCACATCCAATATACTTCCTGCTGTGTCAGATCCCTGATCAGCCATTGTTCTCAAAGGTTCCTCCCATCAGCGTCTATGCCACTGCTGTGTCCTGTAGTGACATAGGACTGGCAGATGAAACCACAGTGGGTGGCTGAGGAAGCACAAATCTGTCATTTGTGGAAGTGTCAAGTGCTAAAGTCTCTGCCAAAGTCTGTACAGCTTGAAGGCCATGGAGTTTGGACTTGTTGACTTGACTTGAGGTGAGTATTTAGAGGCTTCTATTGAAGGGAGCTTTTAATGCATTTTTTTAAGCAATAAGGTTTCTTGAAGATCATGTAGACCAGCGTTAGCCAAGCTTCAGCCCTCCATCTGTGGTGAAACTACCAATCCCATCATGCATCTGCCTCTGGTAGTCATGCCTGTGGCTGTCAGACTCTTACAATGCCTAATGGGAATTTTAGATTCCACCTGGAGGGCCAAAGTTTGGTTACTCCTGATCTAGGCCAATAGCCACTACCAAAGCTCTGTCTAGAGAGTCTTTAATGGGCTAAATTCCCAAGGTCCAACTAATGCTGTTGGGGCCAAGATGTGACCCTATAGTAACTTATTCTACTACTGCATCCTACCCAGTTCATTAAAGAGGAACTCCAGGATTTTCAAAAGTTAACAGTGGGGCTACTGCAAGGGTTAACTGCTCGTTTTGGTCTAGGGGTGTAAATATAGAAAATATACTAACCTGATCCTTAATCCCACCTGGCTGCTAAAACACCATGGAACCAGCACACAATAATCTTCCAAAGAAATTCAAACTTTATTCCACATGCATCTGTACAAAGCACAACCGCTGACGCGTTTCTTACTCGGCGTTAGTCATAGCTACCACCACCACCACCACCTGGCTGCTAGACCAATCCCTGCAGGCTCTTCTCCTCCGGTCTCCGGCGGTCTAAGCCCTGCTATGGTCCATTCACTTGCATTATACCTCAGCATAATCACAGCTAGAGCGGAGGGGGAGAGAGGTGAGTTGTCACTACTGCAGGATCGAGGATCAGGTAAGTGTTTATTTATTATTCCTTTCCCTAGACCAAAATAAGCAGTTAACCCTTGCATTGCGTGGGGAAATCCTGGAGATCTTTAAATCTTGCTGGTTAAGAGTAAACAATGTAATGCAGTAGTCAGAAAATAACAAAGTACACATCTGTACTCACGCAATTGTCTTTTCAGCTAATATAATTTTGTGTTAGCTAAAAAGGAAATGATTATCTAAAGTGGATTATATGTAATATATTAGACCGCAGGTTATGTAAAAATAGACATTGTGCACAAATATGTGTAAACATCATGACTCACTAATTGAGAGACTCTAAAGCCTTTTACAGATATATTATTCATTTACAAATACTAAATGTTGTTACATGTTTTTTTCCAATCTACTCCAAGATATACAATAACAGTGTAAAAAGCGTATTTAAAAGTGTATCTCGATCAAGCATGTTAATGATGAATAGTGTCTCAGATAATGATTTATCGAAAAAGAAAATATTTTTTCTTACCCCTTCAACATACTGGAGCATTCGGCGGGTGCTTTCCAGTGACTGAAAAAGAAATACATAAATACAGTTACCATAAGTTAGATATTGAAAAAATTAAACAATGTTGCCAATCATTTATTTTCAGTTTGTAACATTATTTTGAACCTGTATAGGTCTGTCAAGGTGGGTGGGGGGAGCAAATGCTTCAGCCACTGAAATGGTGAAAGGACCTTTTTAAATGCTGGACAAGCTTAGGCAATAACGATATAAAGAGTAACTTTTCATGGCACCTGTAGATGTTTATCTGATATCAAAGGCCCAAATAAGCAACAATTTCGTAGATATAAGTTCCAAATTTCCAAAATATCTAAGTTCTTCAATTCTCTTTTTTTTTTTTTAAGCAAAACAGAGTCTCTGAAATAATGCCTCTTTCCCATAATCCCTGTTACCACAGAGTTACTATGGGCTACTAGACTAAGTAGCCAGCTTTCCAGCCAGTGTTGTATTTTTTGGCTACTTGAAAGGCAGATACAATACAAATGAACAATCTTAATTAAATATGCCATGTTCCGTGGCCCCCTGGTGTGCCTCCTGGCTTCCTCAGGGATGCCTCTAAATTTTGTAGTAGTGGGACTGTGATGTGAAGGAGGGAATGAAGACTGATGTGAAGAGGGGTCCTGATGTAAAGAGGGACTTCTGATGTGAAAAGGGACTCCTGATGTGAAAAGGGACGCCTGATGTGAAGGGAGGCTACTGATGGACCTCCTGATGGGAAGGAGGGAAATCTTGATTTGAAGGGGGCACGTCGATGAGGAGGGGGAAACCAACTTTTTTGTGTGTTTTTGCGTGCGGTCCCCCTTAAAATCGATGACATTCTAGACTGGGGTGCCTTGAGATTCTGCGTAACTTTAAAGGGTGCTGTGACTGAAAAAAGGTTCAGAAACACTGTGCTAGACTATAGTCCAAGCTTCATTATAGTACAGTAATAATAAAATGATTTTGACAGATAGACTCTAGTAAAATATACCATTAGATCACTTTGGGCTGGTACACATTTGTTAATTTTGTTATTTTTTTTCTTGAAAATGCTATCATGAAGATCTTTATGCTCACCCAAGCATTCACAAAGCATTTAAAAAGCTGTAAGCAGCTTTCCTGTAGTCCTTAAAACACCCTTTAGCTCCAAGGACAGTGTAGTGAATACAAATCTTAATGGAAATGTTGGCTGTTGACATAAACTAGCTTTTAGAATGCTCCAGATGAGATTAAAACCCAACTCCTGACAAAACTATTTTCCTTAAATTGAGCACTCTTATTTTATTACTGTAATGCAGTCTTGGCTTTTTTTCTACTTTTTTTTATCAGTTAAGTGTCAGAACAAGGGTTAAAAAAAACATGTCACACTATTGCTCTCATATACAAGCACTCCTGTGGTTCGAAATGCCCTACTGAATATTGGTCTAGTCTACATGACATTTTCTGTTGCGTGGTTGATTAGGAAGTTCGGGGGGCATCAGAAAGCTATCCTGCTGCTCATGTGTGAGACTCTCCTACGATCTACTAGGCCAGCCTTTGGTAGAAAAAAAGTGGTATATTTATCCTGTATATGCACCTAGGTAGCATTACAATAAATAAATTAAGAGGGTTCCATTTGCCTTAATGTTTTGTCTATGACCCTGATAAAAAACAAACAAGCTGACAGGTTCTAATCATTCCTCACTCTATACAAAACTTAAAAAATATGTCTTGCGCTTTAAATTTAACAGAACTTTGCTCTCCCAGGTACATGAGTACAGACACTTAGCAATACAATCTCAACTAAAGTGCTGTTACATTTTCCCCATATTTATACAGCACACAATAGAGTACATAGAACCATTTACATCGGTATAAGTCCCTACCACACTCATAAACTGAGCCAGTTTTTGGGAATAGAAACCAAGTAGCCTAACAGCACATGTTTGGGAAGCTATACAAACACAATGTGCCTAGTGTCCCAGATGAGAGTCCAACCAAGGACCTTGAATTACAAAATAAGAGAGCTAACTACATATATACATCTATGCACATAAGCATGATCTTCTAACTGCAGTGGAACTATAAGTTATGTTAGAAATAAACCAGTATGATTTTAAAATGACTTCTGATTCTACAGCGGCTACAGAGCCCTAGTTTTTGTTAACAGCCAAAATATATAAGGAGCAAATAGAACCTGAAAAGTCAGATAGATGTTTAGCAGACTCGTCTCTGGATATGTCCACCTGCTCAACCTGTCACATGTATAGAACTATTCTAGTCACATCAAACAGCTGGGCAGAGACAGATGGAAGAGGAATCAGGTGAGGGTTCAGAAAGAACTGAATGACACACTATGCAGACAATAGTGGTTGTCGGGTGAATGAAAGCCAGACATCTAAGCAAATATTTTTCACTTCAATATAAACCGTACAGATCATAAAACAAACAGGATGATGTGTAACTTTACAGATTTTGACTGATGAGTTATTGCCTGATGATTGTAAGTAAAAAAAAGTGAACAGCCTGGATAAGTTTACTAGACATGTGCACCGGCAAAAATTTGTTTAGTTTCGTTTTCATTCGGATTTTAGCGTTATTTCGTTTTCCGGGATTCGGGTCAGAAAGTCAATTCGTTTCGGGATTCGGACTAGATTCGTTAGCGGTAGTCTGTACAAATTTTTGTTTGTGGCTGAATTTTCATTGCAGCAAAGTGACATTAGAGAAAAAATTTCACTTTTTTACAGTCTGCAGACGAATGGAAAAAAAAAGTGTTAGGTTCCCCCCAATTCATACCAGATCATTTAGGTCTGGTAGGAATGTTAGGAGGGACCCCCCAAATTAAAAACAAAAAAAAGTGCGTAGGGTTCGCCCCAAAATTCAATACCATGCCCTGGTAAATAAACAAACCACACTTTTTGAAAAAATCCTTTAATTGAAAAAAAAAAGTCAATTTTTATTTTGTTTTAAATGGGGGTGTGTGGGACTTCCTCCTAACATTCATACCAGGCCTAAATGGTCTGGTATGAATTGACAGGGAAACTAACGCTTTTTTTTTTTTCCTCATCTGCAGACTGTAAAAAAGTAACATTTTTTACAGACATGCTTTTTTCCCCCCTCTTCTGCAGACTGTAAAGAAAGAAAAAAGGTATTTTTTTCTCTAGTGACACTTTGCTGCAACGAAAATTCATCCACAATAGAAAATTTGGATTCGGAAAATCGGAATCGGAAATTCGGATTCGTTTGCATTCGTCATTTCTGTAATTCGGATATTCGGTCACATCCAAATCTCAGAATTTCCGAAAATTCGTCCGAGTAACGAATCTTTCTGAGACGAATCGCACATGTCTGATGTTTATCATAATACAGTATATAACAAAGTGGAGGCCATGAAGAGAGATCCTAGGGAGTCAATGATTTGAAACTAGGAGGCAAAATAGAATTAGAACTTTTAGAACTTTACTGGCTGGATATTTGACTATCCCAAAGACTCTGTCGCAGTTGAAGCCAGGGTGATGATGATGACAGCCCTATTTCTACACCTTCATATACAAATCTTTGATAACATTACCTTTATTTTCCCCCTCAGCTCAAAGGAGTAACTATATGCATTACAGCCCTTGCAACTGCTATGGGCCTGGAGAGGTTCTGTTGGGATACTCAATGGCTTTATGAATGGCTTTCTAAAAAAAAAAAGCTCTCCCAGTTCGTTTTGTTGTTGTAAATAAATCATGGCTGGCATTGATAAGCAGAAACTACTTTCTGTACATTGATCCACCCATTACCCACCCATTGGCTTAGCTCTGGCTGTTTACCATGCAGCAATGTGAAGAAGAAAGAAACGCCTGTGTGGGTTTTTTGTGTGGCAAAGCTGCTGTCTCTCTGAAGGGAGGAGGAGCGTATAAATGACAGGATCTGCCCTGTGCATTCACAGAGAGCGTTGCATAGTGGAACAGTAATAGTACATCCGAACATTGGCAGACAGGCTGAGCGGTTGCAGATTTATGGAACTACCTGTGATTCCTATTGCAAGAATCAGCAGATTCTTGCCGCAGATAGATGCAGCCAGACCTCTTTTCCCCGTGTGAATAAGGCCTAAAACTCTCACTTATGGCACAGTAATCGCATAATATTTTGTGGGTACACGGACTGCAGTAAATATATGCAGTGTTTACTGTGTGTAGACTTAGGGGGTTATTTACAAAGGAGTCAAAGTCAGGGCTGTAGCTACCATGGGCACTCGCCTCAGGCACAGCTGAGAGAGGGGCGCAGCCAAGGCCGGAATGGCTGCGCCCCCTTGCCCTTGTTGCCATGGCGAGCACAGGGTGCCATTGGCAACAGGGGCGCCAGGCGGCCAACACAGCCCCAGCTTCGTAGGGAGAAGAGAAGCGGCATAGGCTCCAGCTTCTCCTCGGATCCCTGCTGCTCTCCCCCAGCTGTATGGGCAGAGGACTCTGTGTCCTCAATCTCTTTTTCTTTCTCAAAAGGGAAATGTCAGGGGTCTGTTTAGATCCCTAAATATTTCCCCCGAAGCCCCCCAACAGTAAAATAATAAATTCTGGATTCCCACATCCTGGAGGCCTGGGCGCATGACGTCACATACCGCACACGTGTGTTGGGGGGCACAATTTTCTGTTCTTGCCTCGGGCGCAAAAGGAGCTAGTTATGGCTCTGGCTGAAGTATCCAGCCGTAGCTTTGGCTGATCCTTGGGCTCTCTTCGACTGCCCGAGCCCTTCGGTTCAGTCAAACCGAAGGGCTGCTGTACGGGCTATCCACTGTAGCTCGTACAGCAGTCCAAGTCGGCCGAGCGGCTCAGCTGAGCCGAAGGCATATGCTTCAGCTCGACTGAGCCGAAGTGACAGCCGAAGCGGGGTGAACGGCGCGCCGAAGGCCGGCCATTCTCTCTGCAAATGATAGCTGGGCGGAGCCAGCCGTGATCTCACTGCCGGCTCCGCCCAGTTGTAATGACTGATCAATGTCCCCAAATGACCTGGGGACGCTGATCTGCCATTCAACAATAACAACTGGGCGGCCGTGAGGTAAAGGCCGGCTCCGCCCAGTTGTTATTTATTGGCCGGGACCTGCTAGAAGACTCTAGCAGGTCCCGGCCAATAGAAAACAGTTGGTTGGAGCTAGCTGTCACTGTTAGCTCTGTCCAATTGTTTTGTTTTTAACATTCTTTGCATTTCTTTTCTATTCTGCTCGGTACCACGGAGGCACTGAACAGAATAGCCAAGCCGAATGCCGCTCGGTGGCATTTGGCTATTCACTCACAGCTGTATGACCCCTATGTGAATAGGGGCGAACGGCAGCGAGTGAGCTGCCGGAGCTTCGGCTCAGCCAATCCACATGTTGGATCGGCTGAGTCAAAGTCCTTCTGCACTTCGGCTCAGCCGAATGTTCAGAGCATGTTCGGCTGACTGAAGGCAGCCAAAGGCAGCCAATGTACGTCTGATCTCAGCCGATGTACGGCTGAAATCAGCCGTACTGAGCCGGAATGAATCATTCAGCTCTGTTCACTTCGGCTCGGTTATTCACTTGACTGCCTTCGGCAGCTTAGTGAATCACCCTGTTAGACTCTGTTTAACCATAGTCTTTTAAACTATGTTCAATATTCAGCACTCTATAGCCATGCGCACTTTTGACCGCAGTACTTTATCCCTCCACCAGGCTTTCTCACTTTTTGAAAGTCTGGGAGGTTTTCATATTTCTCTTTGCTTGGCTTCTTGTCAATGGATGACCTAAAGTGGATATACCTTTTAATCCTTCCGTGTATGGAAAAATATACCAATGCATGTATTTAAATAGAAGTCATAACATAACACCCATTGCACTCACCTCATCAGCCAGCTGGTCTGCACGCCGCTGCATCTCTTCCAGCTCATTGCGCATGTCAGCGTCTTCTGCCATTGTGACTGGATGTGTGTTTTGGGGTTGGGGAGCTTGAAATGTGCAACCTCAGGCCACCTGTAAAGTAAGACATTTAAAATGTTATACCTTTATGAACACATTTTTATATTTTATTTTAAAATCAATAATCATGTTGCTTAGCAGATGGCTTTATTCTGTAAACAAAGCAATACCTAAGGACAGACTGTTTGTGGGATGTAATGAACATCTAAAATGCTAAAAAAAAATCTACAAGCTAGATCTACAAACTACAATCTATAAAATACAAGCTAGTACTGTAATGGCTGGTGTACTACACACTTAGTTGAAACAAAAAAATAGTCCTGAACATAATAAAAGTAAAGAATATGTATTTTTATATATATATATATATATTCAAAAAAGACAAAAACTAGCTTTCGAGAGTGAACCTCTCTTCTTCAGGTCAGAAGCAATACACAGCTTATACACTATACATTGCTTTCTAAAAACATCTTAATAACTTGTATACTATCTCATGACAAAGAAGTCTTCATTGACACAGATGTCTAGTAGAGGGTTATTTTTTTTTTTAACCCGGCCGTTACCTGCATGACATTATAAAGACAAATGGGGAATATTTTTGTCAATATTTGAATAAGGACAAATATGTGGCAATGCAGATTGTGCTTGACAGCTGTGCTAAAGGTAAACATTAGTGAACAATGTATGCATCTCTGACTGAAGTTCCTGGGGCTGTACACTGCGTTATGGAGTGTTTATATTGAACTGACCTGCTCTATAAATAATGCAATCCCTTTTTGTGCTGATACAATTAACACTTTAGTTATATCTCAATGAGATATACTAGCAGTACCTTCATTGCTTATGCTGTACTGTGCTAAATGAAATGACCACTGTGCAAGGTTTAGTGACGATCATGTTCATCAAACATTTTATTGTTAAACAAAACATAAGAATTCCATGCAAAACTTTTTTTTATGGTTTGCAGTGGTGCTACCCCCGCACTGCAAGGGTTAACTGCTTGTTTCATAAAAAAGTTATACTCACCTGATCCTCAGGGCCAGCTTGCTCTTAGACCGGTCCTTCCAGCTTCATTCCCCATCTAATGCAGCAATCTAAGGATCTAGAGCATCACGTTCAACACACTGTGTATTGGACGTGAGGACATTGAGGAATATACTATCGCTGCCGCATAGAAGGAGATGGGCTGAAGGGTGCAGTGTGACAGCCAGCAGGCTCCAAAGTTTGGGTGAGTATACCTTTTTTTACTTTAGCACTTACACAAACATGAGCACTAAATCCTGGCAGTGCGAAGGGTTGATTAAAGTATTGCCTGGAGTTATTCTTTAAACAATGGTTTTCCAAAAAAGTTTATATGCTGATAACTGTATGTATGTGGTTGACGCATATTAAGACTGTATTCTGTATTATAATTCTTTTTTTTATTTCATATGTCTTTACATACTTTACATACAGACAAAGCTTCTCAGCAAACACAACAGTAATAAGGGGTAGGACAAACTGCAACACTCCCAGTGGGTGCTTCTAACGATCACCTTATATTTACATGGTTTACAACGAAAACTGTTATTGCAAGTGCAGAAGTCCCCCGGCAGTGTTAGATCTCTCCCACTGTCACTTTTGCTTCACAGTTTGCTCAGCATGTGAATGTGTAGAAAGGTAAAAATAACAGTGCAGGCAGTCCCCGAGTTACATACATCTGACTTGCATACGACTCCTACTTACAAACGGAGGCTATTACTGTACAGCAGGGGTAGTTGTAATGCTACTGCGCTCGTGCCGACGAGGTCTGGTTTGTAGTACTCTACGTACATTACAGGAAGTTGGCTCTTGTTAGACGTGCAGACAAGGGGTGCCCACCTCTTCTTCTGTATCCTCATTCGAAAGATTTAATCTCACGTCCTGTCCTTGAGAAAACAGGAAGTGAAAAGAAATCTACCCCTAGAAAGGGAAAAGCACTCCTGTAAGAGTGATCATGGGAAAAAGGTGTCTCCACTGAAGCTTTATCACCAATCCTTGTTTCCACAGCAACCCAAAATTGTCAAAATCCAATTGTCACAGGGACAGAAAGTGAGGTGACATTTTCTGGACAGGGGCACACACAGCAAAACAGACTTTACAGGGGGTAAACCCTTCCCTATGCTATCCAAAACAAAACCAAAAGAATTTGGGCTGGAGTTACACTTAAAAAACTGTACTTGTTTCAACTTACATACAAATTCAACTTAAGAACAAACCTAAAGTCCCTATTTTGTTCATAACCCGGGGACTCCCTGTATGTGTATAGGAAAAAAGAAATTCATCTACATGATACTTTTTTTTTACAATTATTAATCTCTTACAGCCATCACAATAAAAGACGTTTCATTATAATGTTTTTAGTGTTATTTTTAAAATGAACCTTTGGGGGGAAAATAGACATAACTGAGCCCAGTGGGAGATTCCTCCATGCACACAGTTTAGCGTAGATGGAGGAATCTGTTGTACTTTTTCCATCTGACCACAGACAATCTGCAGATAATCTATAGGGGTATGGCCAGCTTTAGCTTATGTCCTTCTCATTCCCTATTATCAGAAACCTATTATGCAGATGCCCATAACACACAACCTTTGAAAATGTCTCCCTTATAGTGGATATTTTATTATACTAAGGTATTTATCTGCTAAGGCAGACAGCAATGTGCAAACTGTAGTAACTTATGGCAGCCAATGAGAAATCATGTTCAATTCAATTCTGATTGGCTGCACTGCACATCACTATTTAACTAGGTATTGAAAATGAATTATATGCAGTCTGTTTTTACCACTGTTTCCATCTCAGGGTAAGCAGCAGAAGATGTCCAGTTCATCTGCAGGGATAAGCTTTCATTCATGCATTATTTTAGATCATGTAGTTCAGAGTACTATGCAGCATGGCAAAGATTAAACGTAATGGAAGCAGAGGATTTATGTGAACACTAATAAAGGAGCTGAGTTCCCCTGGACCAATCACCTAAATGACTGCTCCATGTGACCAGCTGGATGATATGATAAGCACTACGCTTTTCCAGTCACATGATGCAAAGATTAGAACCCACACTGTGAAATCCTTCCTGCCTGACAGTCTTTGAGAGAAGAAAAAGCTTGCTCTCATGCTGCTTAGCAATGACAGTGACTGCGGATTACCTGCTGCAATTAACCTATTTCTAAATGTGAACTGTAATCAATCACGTCCAATTCTTAATACACTCTTCTAATACTTGCCGCGTTGGGATAACGGATTACTGCCACTAAACAATATAATATTTGATTAGGAGATCAGAATTTTTTTTTAAGAAAGTACATTTTATGTTTTGTTCTACATTTCTTTATTAGGTCTTGGATGTACAACATTGACTGCTGGAAAGTTTCAGTTGATTTTAAGACTCTGTAATGTTTAAACAAAAATCGCAGGTATAAAGTTTAGGCACCTACCTGCAGTAGCTTCCAAATCCCTGCCATTACAACCAAATCCTGGGCTGTTCTGATATGTTTCAGTGCTTCCTGATTGTGATGAATAATTCCTACTGGGCACTAAGGCAGCCTATCATAGTTACGGGTCATTAGGAGTGTGTAGAGGTGGGAGGTTGCAGTAAGATCCAAAACTACAAAAATGTGCCTGAGCTTTGCTGCCAGGATTCTGCTGTGGGGTATGCGAGGCTACTGCAAATATGGGCACGGGGCATCTGCAGGCAAAGGCAGCTTTTTTTTTTAAATGCCAGAGTCTCTTTAAGAAACTAAACTCTATCCCACTGTATATAGGAATTGTTTCACTTGACAAAAGATTTGTAGAGCAAAGCAAATACTCATGATAAGCACAGCCCTTATGTTCCAGCTGCACACCACAACATGGGTTAATTGGGGTGCAATTTAAAAGTAATGAACCTGCAGTGCACCATGCTTAGTTGCATGCATTAATGCACACGTTATAAAACAAGTGCTTTACTATACATTACCGCAAGATGATAGTGCGAATGGGCCCTCGATTCCTAATCTCTGTGGCACCAGAAGAAATATTAAACTAACACAAGTAGACTAAGCTGCCATTGTATATCTTTGCTTGTAAGCACTGGCAGTGCAGTGCCACTTGGACACGTCACACCCCTATCCATTTCCTAGTTAAGAGGAATAGTCATCCTCTCTGCCTGCAAATCCAGGGCCTCACCCACCTATCATTAGGTCCAGGCACTGTGTAGGTGTAGATGGGGCGTATTTCTGGCTAAGATCAAAAACAACCACAAGAAGGTTTCCATTTGCATAGCCTTTTCCGGGGGGGCTCTGGCCAGTGCTGTACTTTTATAACTCACAAAGAAAAGGTTATGCTGACAGCACTTTGACATACATGTTCTAATTCACAACTCTTACTTTTGCCACTCTTTGCTGATCAACAAGGTAACCCTAAACTCAGCCATCATCACCATCTCACCTCCCATTGCCAGCCTGAATTCAGCCTACAGCCACACGTGGCAACTCAGTATAAAGATAGCTTACAGGCAATTATACTCACTCACCTAAAATATTTTCTCAGCACTTTTGTAGGCATGCAAAATAATGTACTAGGGATATATACTAAAATGTGTTGTATATTTTTCGGTATTGGCTTTAAGAGTGCATTATGCATGTTTTATTTGTTTCCTGCAGAATTCATACATATAGAATGTTTTGGCAAGTAAGGTTTGAATACATTGTGCTACGGATGTGACCAATCTGTTGTGACACCAAACACTTAGGTGTCTATTTATAAACAATTCACATTATGGCCACAAGATGGAGCTTTAATTCCTATGCTCCTCAGCTCCATCTTGTGGCCATCATGCAGTATTTTCCTTGATGTTACATTTGACCTGGAAAAAAAAATATACAAAGAATGTTCTATTTTCACAGAATAGAGGTTCAGAGATTCAGAATGTGGGTGCAAAATGTTTATAAATAGACCCCTAAATGTGCTTACGTTTTTAGAAATAAGCACCTCTGATACAATGACAGAGAAGGAGACCCAGATTGTAAAAAAGACAACAAAGAACGAGACTAGGGTATC